AAAATCCAAGGCAAATTTTTTGAACGCTGACTCATCGCTGTGTGCTTATATGAGAAAAAAAACAAACTTGATAATAAGCTTGAAGAAATCCCGGTGATTACTAAAAAATGAAAATTTACTCAACACAAATTGTGAGCTATTTATTCGAAAAGTTAAGTGCTTATTAGAGTAATTCAGAAAACTTCAAGAAGTTTCTAAAACTTCACGGATGTCACAAGAACTTTAGGAAGTAACCTAAATATTCAGAGATGTTTAAAAAAAATCAAAGAAGTTCTGAGGACTACAGGAAATTCCCAAACTTAGGGTAAGATTAAATGTATTTAAGGATATGTTCCGAGAGCTTTTCATGACATTAAAGAAAGTTTCGTGAACTTTGATGAAGATCAGAGACCCTTATGAAATTTTTATTAGAACTTCACGACCATTTTAGGAACTTAATACGAACATTGAGGAACTCCAGAAAACTTCAAGTACTTAGGAATACTTACGAAAAGTAAGAAAGCTTCACGAAAGTTCTGAGAAGTTCAGAGCAGTTCCATGAGCATCCGAAAAATTAAGTGAGAACCTTAGGGAAGTTCCGAACATTTCTGGAAAATTTTGATAACTTCAGGGCTGTTTGATTAACTTTTAAAAATTGCAGGAGCTTTACAAATGTTCCAAGAACAAAGTCCAAAAAACATTAACATCAACATTTTCATTAACATCAGAAAAAACTCCAAGAATTTCATGGAAGTTATGATAACTTCAGGGATGCTCCGAGAGAAACAAGAACGACCAGAATTGCAGGGAAGTTTAAGAATCATTTTTGTTAGGTTCCATAGATTACATGAACAACATTAGTGAGAACATTAGTGAATATCCAAGAGGAAAATTTCAGGATCTTTACAGCAGTTGCCAAAACTTCAGTTGAGTTTGAAGGTACTAGGAAGTTACGTGAACGTAGGGGCAGTTCTGAGAAATTAAGAGAAATTTAAGGAAAATCAGGAAAACTGCGGGGACTTCAGGGAACATCAGGAAACTTCCGAGTGGTTCAGGTAAATTTAAGGAATTTTAATGCGGTTCCATAGAATTCAGGAAAATAACGAGAACCTCCTAGAAGCTTCACTTATTAAAAATAGTCCCGAGATCATCAGTGAAGGTTTGAGAACTCCATAAAAAAATCGAAAATGTCACAGAAGTTCCGGGAAATCAGGAAAGTGTTTATGTACTTTAAAGATGATCCGAGAATGAAATGAATAACCTAGCATTTCTGGGAAATGAACATGATCAGACTGCGGGATGATGAGAAAAGTTCTGGTAACTTCTTTAAAAATTCGGGCACCTTAGAGAAGTTTCCAGAAATTGAAAGCAGTTCAATGAGCTTTAAAGAAACTGCTAGAACTTTTAGATGTCTAAGAACTTCAGGGATTTCCAGAGAACCTAAGGGAAGGCAATAAAATGTCAGAGATGTCCAGAGAACTTGAGAAAAAGTGTGGAAAGTTTAAAGAAACCCCAAGAACCTCAGAGAAGCTACGTCTAGAGATCTTCAGAAAAGTTCAGAGATCTCAAAGGCAGTCCCGATAGCCAGACTTTTTGGAAAGTTTATAGATCTGTAAAGGTTAGTTTCGATAAATTCAAGAAATCTCTATTAATTTCTGAAAAATTTCGAGTAACTTTAAGAAGTAGGAAAATCAGAACATTTTAGAAGTTAATAAAACTTCAAACATATCAGTGTCAACGTTTCAAAGGGGCGTAATAGCTTTTGAAAAAAAATTGCTTTATCCATCGATTTCTCGCGAATAAAAGCTCACTCAAGAAAATTAATGACACCAACAGGTAGAGCAATGTTTCCTCTACCAGCCAGCATTGTTAATTTTGAGGGGGAGCTTTTATTTACTAAAACCATTGCTACACAAGTAATTACGACCCTTTGAAATGTTAGCACTGATATAACGGGTGTTCAGTGTTGGCAAAATCAGAAATCAATTGATATTTTTCCGCTCTCATGGGCTCGCAATATCACGCGTGATATTGGAACAAAATATCATGCTTAATATTGATTTTACAAGCTCCTTTGATATTGCGAGACTATTCACAACGTGCAAACATCATGCTGAGAGTTGACTCGACACAAAAATGATTCCATTGCACATCGTTTTCTTAGAAAGAGAAAGCATAGTTTGCTATCTCTTTTTACTCTTCACTGATGGCAGACACGAAGGGACTGCTGCCAGCCGTTATGGAAGTTTCGGTTGCATTCGGGTGTAAAGCAAAATTCATTCAACTCAAACTTACCACAGTTTGGTGAGATTTGCAGTTGGTGAGTTTTGTTAGCTTGATATTCCGAGTTGCGATATCACAGCTTGCAAAATCAATCATAGTTGTTTGCTAGTTGATTTTTGTCTACGAAAATCAAGCGTGATCTTGGGCGTTGGTGAGATTTGATTTTTTCAGTCTTAGGTTTGTTCGTCTCTTCAGTTCCGATATCTTCAGAGAAATCCAAAGAACATCAGGCAAGTTGTCAAATTTTTGAGTAGTTTCGTTGTTGAGAGCCTTGAGAACCTAAGAGCAGTTTCACTAATTAAGTGCAGGAACTTTGCAGAAGTTCCCGGGAATTATGGAAAAATACGAGAATTTCAGAAGTGTTTCAAAAATTTCTGGAAAATTGCGAGGTTTTATGGGAACCTCCACTAATATCAAGAAAATTTGTTCAACGTTGAGAACTCCTTGATAATTTAGAGAACTTAATCACGAAGGAACAAAACTTCAGGAAGGTTGCAAGAACTTTACAGTTGATGCCAATATTTCAGTTATATGTTTTAAGTTCTTTAATGAAGCAAAGTGAACTTCGGGGTAGTTTTGGAAAATTTACGGCAGCTCCATGCATATCAGGAAAATAGCGAGAACTTCAGGTAGCTTTCAAGAACTTAAGGGCAGTTTCATTAATTTCAGGTGAAAATCTGGAACGTCCAAGAAGTTTCAAAAATTAAATTATAGTCCAAAAGTTAAGAGAAAAATTTCAGAAACTTCACAGAAATTCCAAGAAGTTCATGGAAGTCCAGCGAGCTTCAGGGAGGTTAAGAGATCTTTAGGTAATTTCCAGATCACAATCAGTAAATTAATGAGAACTTCAGGAATGTTTCATGATCGTCAAGAAAGATAAAAGATCTTTAGAGCAGTCCCATTAACTTCACAACTTAGAACTTGAAAGAATTCTTGAGGAATTTAAGGATATGCTGACATGGAAATTTCAAACCCAAATTGCGATAACATATGGAAAGCTCCGAAAAATCTGTAATATTTTTTGCAATATTATGGGAGCTTAACGAATTTCAAGGTGGTTTCATTTGCTCCGGAAACTTCTGGAATATTCAGGGAACTTCAGGGAAGTCAAAAGAATTTCACAAATGTAGAGAGAACCTATAGGAAATTGTGGTGGATTCCAAGTACCTCAGCGAAGCTAGGTCTAGAGATCTTTGGCGAATTACAGAGATCTTATGGGAAGTTCTAATAACTTCAGGGTAGTTCCAAGAACTGCAGGAAATTCCAGACTTTCGCAAAATTTTAAGTTCCATAAACTTTAGTAAAATTTTGAGATCCCTAAAAAAGTTCCGTGAATTTCAAAGTAGTCCAGAGATCTCCAGAGAACATAAGAAAACTACTTTGAAAATTCGGGAGCTACAAAACTAAAAAATTCAAGAGAATTCAGAGAACTTCAAGGATGCTTCGAGATCATTAAGATAAATTAAAGAACCTATCAGGGTAGTTAAATAAGTTTCAAGGAAAGTTCCGGGAAACTCATGGAATTTATGATGTTCTGAGAGTTTCATTGAAATTTTTGAAAGAAACATTAACATCAGGAAACTGTGAGTAGTTTCCAGACCTTCAAAAAATGGCAGGAACCTCAGTGAAAATCAGTGAACTTCTCAAAAGTTTGGAGATTTTTGGAAGTTTCATTATATTGAGGGAAGTTCCGAGTACTTCAAGAACAAGGAATTATGAGATGTTCCAGGATCATTGAAGAATATTCCAAGTATACTAGCTCTAAGTCAATTCAACCAATTCAACCTAATGCTGTTCAGCCTACTGGCATTCAACCTGGTTCCCCAATGCCGTTTGTCTTCCAAATGGTTTCCATTAATTTTTTGTTGGAAAAAGTGTATGAAACTGGCCTAGAGGTATACTAAAAAGGATAATATCAATAGTTTTGTTTTCGTCTACTCTAAAGCAGACTACACGTAACTTCATCGCATGATTTAGTCAAAAACCTAATTATTTTATTGATAAAAATATAAGTGAGAATGAAATAGTTATCAGGAAAATATATGCAAACAACACCAAATTCGGGTTGTTTTGAGTTTCAATGTGAAACGATCCTAATTCAATGTTCAGCTTAGTTGCTCAAATTAAAAAAAAAAACATGTAAAACTTTCGATAAATTATCAAAAAAGACATACGATAATTAGGACGCAAACTTGATGAAATTTTTTTATTTCAATAAGTTAAATAAGAAAACTAGAATAAGCTATAAACAACTAAATAGTGGTGACCAAAATTTAAAAAAGTTCAATTAAAGAACAAAATTTATTAAAAAAAAAATTAAGCAATTTAATCTCATATTAATTACAAGCAATGCGACGATATGAATTATATGATATTATTATAATTATAGTAAAATCATATCATTTTAAATAGATTTTTTATTGACTATAAATGTATTAACATTGGATGAAGGAATGTAAATGCTTATCCTGATTTATCGGAAATTCAAGTTGTTCTTAATGTTGCACAGTTTTACAAAAAGTATTTCATAACTAGAGTATATTGAGTGCATAATCACATTTTTTCAATTCAAAGAACGAAGAACAAAAGTTACGTCTAACTATTCATTAAATTTTAGTCTTTATTCAAATTATTTTATCAATCATGAACGCCCGTAATAGTCTCATTGTACAATATATAAAATTCAATAGCTAAGAATGACGAATAATATAGATCACGAATAAAAATTATTCACTCACATTAATGAGATCCTGTTCAATTTCTCCGATGGCACAATGTTTTTCTAGTAACTTCCTTTCGAACAGCAGAGCTTTCAGTTCATTAGAATTGTTCGCCACAATCGTAATTCTTATCGCGTAATGTCACTTCACTTTCACTCGCAAATCGACAGTCCATAAAGCTCTTCACTCTTTCACTTTTCTGACAAATCACCTGCAGAACAATCAATCCGCTCCGAAACTCAACCAGTGCGCATCCGCGGCCGATTCGAAGCTACTAACTAAGTAAGAAAAAAAGTCGAGTGTCCGTGTGACAACTGGAAGGCTTCTACATGCTGACATAACTTAAATACCTTTTTCGCGCGCCATCGGTCGTCGGATGAAAACGGTCTTGTGTGCGCGCACCCAAAACACGATCATCATCATCAACAACAACAATAACAACAACAACAACAACAACAACATCGACATCCCAGCCCCAAAACGACCTCCCCCCCTTTTCCAATTTAAGCTGTACGACGATCAACAAAACGAGCTTAGCATCATCTTCTCACCCCTGTTGGTTGTTGCTGCTGTTGTTGCGCTCGGTCCAGCCAGCTGCAATGTCGCCGCATCGTGTGAGCAAAAACTCTCACTCTCGTTCGAGACTTGGGCGACCCCTACTCAACCAAGGGGATGTTATCTCATCGCGTCCACTAAGGTTCGATATCGAACTCTCAATCTCAACCACCACCGAGCCGAAACCGGCATTTTAGCGTACAAGAACGCTTTGATGATGAGAAGATGGAGAGCGAAAGTGATTCTCGTTTTGCCCTCTTCTCCATACGGTAACTTTGCGCCGCGCGAGAGAGCACCACGTGCTGAGATAAGCCGGTTTTCATGACAGCTCTTTCGGGTAACTTAAGGCTGATATTCACCTGAAATAAGATTTTCAGTGAAAGCTTTGAAGTACTTTTAATGGAAGATTGACGTTTAGAAAATGGTCAGCATTTCGAAAATTTAGATATCAGATGAAAATAAATCAATTTGTTCGAAAAAAGCCCCATAATTTCCCTAATGCACACTCGGCACCAGAAGCGCCTTCAAACGGAACGGTCATCAAAAGCAATCACCCGGCAAATTTACAGTGTTCCTCTCTCGCTCTCGGTTCACGGAGAGCACAGTCCGAGAGACAACACAAAATATTCGATTCAACTCATCTGGGGGGGGGGGGGGGGTTCGCCGTTTGATTGTGTATTTTTTCATTCATAAAATTTCGCTACCACCCGTCTGTAACTGAAAGGAAAGGGATGTACCTTCATACCTATCTACCTGCTGAAATACAACGGGGCAGACGAGCGGTTGTGATTTTTCATGTGATTTAATTTAATGACCCATTGCCATCGGATTGGAATTGGAAGGTAAAGCGGGGAGTAAGTCAAACGGGATGAAGCAACGGTTTAGCAATATGTATATCGGTGGCAGCAGAAGATTACGCTGCGATAAAAAAAAAGACATGTGTAATTTACCATTGGCGATGAGCAGCGACGACAGTACTGCTGACTGACAGCGAAAGGCCACTGTTTATTAGCGAGTTGTGATTATTGAGATATTGTTCGGATGAGATGTGATACAATGTAATTTGGGCGTTTTGAGGTCACAAACATATATTTGATGTGTATTTTACTAGGCAAATGAACTGTTGAGCGTTTTTTGAAGAGTCTCTATGAATCAGTGATTAAGAGTGATGCTCATTATATCGAAAAACATTGGTTCGGTTCCTGAACGGACAAAGGAATCTTCATCGAACGGTGTCATATATACAAATAAATCATCGGAAAAAGCAAGCTATGGACAAATTTTAGCACCGGAGAACCAAATCACAAGATCAAAAATAAATAATTTTTTTGGAAGAATATAGGTGCACACATGACTGACATTTCAAGCATAAATTTTAAAAAGGATGTATGTAATATTTGAAAGGAAATAAGAAACATTGGATTGCAATTTCCATTTGTTTTTTTTTTTTTAATCTGGATAAAAGGATGACGTTTAAGAGAATTATGAAAAAAGTTGAGTTTTCCCCAACACGGACAAGAATTTTGATAAAACAAAATGTTACACGTTTTCCTTGTGTGATACTCACATACACCTTGATTCGTTGATTTGACAGATCGGGTTTCATATACGTCAGATCATGTACACCGGTTTTTTGATGATACTGTCTGTTGTGCTAAGAATACGTGCAGAAGCAATCTGATGTGACTCATGAAGCTCCCGGATTAAGCTGGGTGGCTACAGGAACAACTTGACGCATCTGCTGATTGAAAATGATTGCTTTGTTTTTTTTTTCAAATATGCGATGCGCAGTTTTTGTGTTATCAAGTTTTGACAGTTAGGTCATCTTGACAATATAAGGATGTATCAAAACCATTTTAAAAACAATGAAAGGGCGTTCATTAAATATATTTTCCACAATTCATTAAAATTTCAAACCCTTTTTTTCTCATTAACTCGTAGGAAAAGCAAATATTTTATAATCGCCCTTTTGACAAGTTATGCTTGATTTGTTAAAATTAAAACTTTCAAGTTGTTTTTATCCTTCAGTGTAATGGAATGGAATGGATCTGTTGAGGTGAGGTGGAATGAGGTGTGATGATAAATTTTGTATGAAAATCAGACCTTCACTGGTATTATATCGATCATCATTTTTTTCTATTCTTAACAGATTAGGATAAAATAGTTTTCAATCGATCAGAAATTGATGTGAGTATTTAAGCATGTACAATAGACTGATGCAAAATTTGAAATTGTCGCTCCACTGTGCTCAAATGGTTCCAAATTGCAGCCTCCCAAAATTTGAACTTCTTTAGTAAGAAACTGACTTGGCACAAACCATTTGAAGTTTATATAGAAATTACTATGGGAAAACTAAAATTCTGGTTCACGTCTATCGCAAAATTCACCAATTTACTCTGCTTAAGAAAATGATAGAGCTGCGCTTGATGATTTTCTCAGCTACAACTTTGTTCAAGACCACTTTTCGATTGAATGTAAGGAACATAAGTTATGAATGTTTCCAGTCACTGATGTCTTATGATTATGCTCAATCAACTGTTCAGCAGGCAACATTGGTGTTTCTGAGGTGTTGAATAGGTCACAAAAATTATGACTACTTTGTCACACTGCAGAATACAGTGTTACCCACAATACAGCTGCTTAATCATGCCATAAGATTATCAATCTCTTAATCAATTAATAAATATTTAGTTTGACGCTGGGCTGAAAAACAATCTTCTGCAAAGTTGTAGCTGAGAAAATTTCCCATAAGAATAGCGATAGAACTTGTTAACAGTGCAATATGGAAAAGGCTAGAAGACAGTGAACAAAAAGTTTGGGTTTCCCGTAGTAATTTCCATATAAACTTCAAATAGTTAGAATCCGATTTGGAACCGTTTGAGTACTGTGGAGCGAACATTTCAAATTTGGCATCGATCCCACTATCCCGGTCCTATTTAAAAAAATATTCATAATTAAATTCTGGGTCCTTACAGGTTATTTAAAAAAGTCGTGGACCTTACTCAAACATCGAACAGTTCCAGGCCAAAAAATATTGATCTTTTGACTCGACCGTCACCTATTTGTTTGAAACTTTGCATAATTGTTTGTTAAAGTAAATCATTCACATTTGAGCAAAAATTCGCCGTGCCGTAATCGACATTTATCAGTAAATCGTTGCACGAAAACATAATTTAAAATGAAATTACGTCTGCGACAAAATTGTAGCGAAAAATAATCTGTTTCTAGCAAAAATATACACAGTCAAATTTTTAGGAGTCAGGAAAAACCGAAAATTTTTGAACTTGTTTTCAGTGTCGTAAACCGGTGGCAAATTTATCATTGTTCAACGTAAATACCGAAATAAACTTTTGGAAAGAGGACTGAAGTGTGTCCTGCTTCTAAACGGACGCGAAAATTTGTCAAGGCCGGCGCACAATGCATACGTTTTCGGGTTTTTTGACAGATAATGCATGGACTAAATGTCAAAAACCTGAAAACGTATCTATTGTCCGCCGGCCTTCAGTTGTCATATTTTTCGTATATGTGCGTTCGTCACGTTTCTTTCGATTTTTGGTTGATGGCGCTTGATAACATTTTTCTAGAAAGTGCGTGAGTATAAAAATTGTAGGCTATTTCCATAAGTATTATTAACGGGAATCCGGTCGTGTGAGCTGTGATTCGGGGTTTCCTTTATTTTCTCGGTTCTGTCGTGAGATTTGTATTTTCTAGTGCGCGGTTCAAGAGTAAAATTTACGGGTTGCGAAGTGTAGTGGTGCTTTTACGATTTTGGTTACCTCTGATATTTCGGAGTAGCTGAATGCTGAAGATTCGGAATCCAGCAACAGCTACGGTGTAATTATGTTTTCGAGCTGAAAAAGAAGGAGGACGAAGACGGCCAGCGGCACCACATCTTTCTGCTGCTTACAAAACGAAGACTGCGATTTTGATCATTTAATTTTTGAGACATCGGTGAAATCATTCCATATTTTATATTATTTTGCGAAAAATTTCTATTTATATAGGAGAAAGGGATGTAATGTTGGCCTGAGTGCCCCTAATTTGGACCCATACATAAATTCAGCAATCGACTGCATTTTCAAAAGCGACCAAAAATATCTATTAGGACCGTCCCAATGACGCGTTCATCAAGATAAAATTGATAAATAGCAGAATTTTAGCGATCGGCCCAATCTTAGATCCATAGGCCAACATTAGAGCCATTTCCCCTATGTTTATTAATTTTAACAGATATTTTATTTTTTAACAGGTTTTACTTTAGGGCTAGTTCGATTTTTTAATATATACCCGATAACTTTGACTAAATTCCGATCCTTGCGATTACAAGCGGTCCGTCTTGGTAATAATAAAGCCTTTTCGATGGTGTCAACTTTGGGATCAGCTGCTTCATTATCTATGATGTGACGTTTTCTTCTTTCGTGCAAGTCCGAGAAAGGTTTTGAAGGTCGTCCACGTTTTGTTCTCACGGCAGAGGTTGAGACAGCACATTGCTCCTGTTCAATAAATTCCTCGGTGCCAAATTTTTCATTAAGCCAAAAACTCAAGCACTGGTCCTGAAATATTGAAAAAAATGTTTTTCAAAAACATATGTTGATAGTACCAGCCAAATAAAATTCTAAAGTCGCTAAACAATCGATGCAAATTGTTGTCCGCCTGAGCCTGCTTGATTGATTTGAAATGACCATAGTGACCGAAAATTTTCAAATTGTTTCATTTTTCAATGGGGCAAGTTGGGAAGAGATAAAACTTAATAATGTCAAACCCATCAATACTTTGTCTGTTTATTGCAGCTGCAGTCTTAAGTGTCCGAAATATGCATCAGAACGGTAATTCTTTTAGTATTTGTTAGGATACACTCCAACCATGACCCAGAGCTACAAATTAAATAATTTCCTTATTTTTTAAAAGTATATAAGATAACGTTTTCTATGATGTTATTTTGGAAATCATGGTTACAAATTTAATTGAACGGAAGCGTGATTTTGCGGCAAAAATCGCACTATTTTTACCTTATTTGACTTTGACATCCCATATTTTAGAAACTAAAACTGCTGGAGGC